GTATCTACTTTAAAAGTAAGTTTATGAGAAGGAAGGTTACCCACATTCAAAGAATTTAGAAATTCCAGTGGATAAAGATGAGCTTGACTATTGTCACTATCGTCACCAAGTGAATCTGCACTAAGATAAGTTACTTCCTCGTTGTGAAACTCTTCCATAATTGCATTATTAATTGTATCGACATCATTATTTTTAGGCGCCAAAATTCCTCGGTCGACCAGATAATCAGAACTGCTATATTGTGTTGCAATGTCTGCGTATACAAAGTTAATCAAGTCTCATATATTCTGAGATGGCACGACAATATCTGAAGGCAATCTAATTAGATCACTATCTTTCACAACAGCCGGAATACGTCCTTCTCCCAGCTTTAATAACCAATTGGCAAACTCTTCTTGATTACTTGCATTAGAGGTTTCAGCATTTTGAAGAAGGCGCATGTTTATTTTTAAACACATCACTCTAACATGCTGCCAGAGATATGACCATTGGAAGCAAGCATCAACAACACCTTCGCGTCCAGCTTTCGGTACAACTGGGAGTACTTGTCAGAAATTCCCTCCAAATACAATCACCTTTTCTCCAAAAGGCACGTGATCTAGTGATATATCTACAGCTTTCATAAGGTCTCGAAGTGTCCGATCGAAAGCTTCTATAGCAAAACGTTGCATCATTGGAGCTTCATCCCAAATAATGAGTTTAGTTTCTTTGAGAAGCTCAGCGAGGTCAGTTTGATGTGATATAGAGCATGTTGAATGTTCATTTGGATTGAGAGGAATTTTAAATTGTGAGTGCGCTGTGCGACTACCATTAAGTAGAGTAGCTGCAATTCCAGAAGAAGCGACAGCAAGAGCTATCTTACCATCGCCATGAACTTTGTCTAACAAAATGTTATACAAAAAAGTCTTTCCAGTTCCTCCTGGCTCATCTACAAAAAAAACTGCAGAAACGTTAGTTTCTACAGCTTCGGTTACCGCATTAAAGATGGCAAGCTGGTCTGAGTTAAGTCGAGATTGATTAGCAACAGCACGATGTGCAAGCATAAGTGTGTTATATTGGTGCTCTTCATGGCTGCAAAGAGGCAATATCGGAAGTACATTTGGAATAGGCATGTGCGGAAAGTTAGAAAGATTTTTTCCATTTTTTTGAAGAATTGTTTGGAGATGATGTAAAGCTTTATTTTGCAGACTTTTATTAGTCAACTCTAGAGCATAATTATTAGCATCACTGCGAGCTTTTGCGAGTATATCATTTGTAAGTGCTAGAAAATGTTTCTCTCATAGTTTTTCGGGATGCGCCGGATCGCAGAAGAGAAGAATTATTGCAAACAGATGACGAAGTGTGCTCCTGTCTTAATAAAACTTGCTTCACGTAAGCACTTATCCCATTCATCATCATTTTGCAGCAAGCCCAATGCATTGCAGACTTCTTTAAAAGAATTGTAAATGATTCTATTTATAGTTCTCAAATGTGGAAAAGAGGTTGCACCTGGAATTATATCAAGTAGCATTCGGAGATAATATCGTTTTCCTGCCCCAGGATGCATGAAATACATTCGTCTGATTGTATTACCTTGTTTTCTTGATGTCCAAAGTTTTTTCTGCTTATTCCAGACCCACTTGGTTGGAAAATGTCCATAAGATAATTTCCTGGCTTCCGGATATTTAATATTTGCTGTAAACTATTTGGTAAGCATAGTTTTATCAATATTTTCTCGATCTAAAATTTCTTGAACGGTTTCGTCATCTGAAAATGGGACCATATTTTCTCCGGGAAGGTGTACTTGAAGTTGTTGAATGTCAGGTTTCTCGTCATGCATGCGATAATGAAAAATTCTCCAAGAAGCCTCTGATGCTGATACGTAACACGTATTAAGGTAGAGATGAACCTCATTTACTGTAGTTTTATTACTTTCAGACGTTAGTTCGACTGTGGCACAGTCGTATCCTTTATACACATATTTAAAAAGATATTTGACTGCAGTAATCGAAGAACAGATTTCTACATTAATGTGCGCATTGTATTTAGTAACCAGATATAGATTGTGCGGAACCACCCATCGATTATCTAGTACATTTCCTTTAATTTGTACAGTGCGATGATCATTTCTGTGTCGATATACAGGATAGCCATCTGCATTTTCTGTAGTAGCAGAATTAAAGTCACGAGGATACCGTTTTGAACATTTACCATTCTGTATGCAAGAGGCATTAGAACGCATATTGCCACATGGCCCATGGATCATCATTTTTTTTACGGTTTCGTATGCCAAAGGATAAAGCTCAGGGTCAGAAAGTTCGGCAGATACAATACGATCAAAATCTTCCGGTGTTTTTGGCTTATGTTCTTGTGACAGGATTAGCAAAATGTGAGTGTGAGGAAGCCTACGCTTTTGAAACTCAATAACATATATATAAGCTAACACCTTTCCAAAAATTTGTTTTTTCAGGATATCATTAAGCAATTCTTTGAGTTTCATATTAAAAACACATACAGTAAGATCTGGGCGATCTTGAACAGATTGGCTTGGTAAAAGCTTGCACGTAATTTCAGGCCACATCGGATTGCAAGTGAAGGTTATAAAAGGTCGGGCTTTCCAAAAAAACGAACAATTCCCATTGCATCCTGTTAAAGCTGATGCATTTGCCGAGGGCCTCTATTGAAAGTCGAAGGAAGAATAATTCGCTAGCCTATTTCTTTGGTTTGTACTTCATCAGTGGTTCACATTAAATCTTGTAGACCTGTTGTTTAATTATATAACTAATTTGAATAACTGTATATCATCATACTGAGTGCTATAAATAAACAATTTACACAAAGTCATGGATGAAACTGATACAGGATGGATTTTAATGTTTAGGGTTTCAACTTGAAATAAAAGCTGAACCAAAATATATCTATGCTATTTATTAATAACTCAAAACATAGGTCGTAACTTAATTATTAAACGAAAAAGCTGACAAAAGAACGCCCAAACTTCGTTATCATCCGATTTTGGCATCTTCTGGAACTTTGAAAAATTCTTTATTCACACTTTCCTTGATAAAGCTCTACTCGAATTTTTTTCTGGTTTTGTTTAACGAAATTCAACCGATTTTGTTCAATTATAGCATAGGCATCGACGATATATTGTTGGAATAAACGACCTCCAAGGTGTAGTCCTGAACCTTTTCCCACTCGAACTTGTAAACGGTATGCATAGAATTGCATGAGTGTGACATACTTGCATTTTCTAATATTAGTATCATCCATTTCATCACATTCAAAGTTAACGGCATCGTAATTGATATCCTCATTAGCATTTCTATCTATTTCTGATATGTTCCGAAGAGGGATCCATGGAAACCAACCATCCTCACCTCTTGGAAATAATAACACATAATGTAAAGGAATGTAAAATCTGTGTAGCTCTGAAATTCTTCGCAAACCTCCATTCCTAAGACTAAGAACAATATCGCGATGTGAGGGCTCTGTTTTATGATTATTTTCAATTAGAATTGCAGCGACTTCATTAGCAGTCGGTACATTATAACGTGTGGATCTGTTGATCTTTCTGCCTTGATTACCATTGAGAGTGTCATAGCAGGTTCCTGTATTAAAATATCACGCACTTGCCTAAACATTGCGACATATAGATTGAATTGATCTAACATTTGCTGTAAAACTGCAAGTACAGAAATATCTAATGAAGGCATTACAGACAATCTATTTTGTAATTCATGCACAGTATCATAAATATAAAGCTGAGCAAAATTTGGAGGCATTTCAGGCTGTGCAGGCAGAAGAGATCCAATATTATGATATACTTCTCCATGGATATGGTAAGTATAGATACCTATTACATGAAAAACACGTCGTTAAATTTTCGTATTAAAGCTTTAAAATTAACTAACACAAAAACAAACCTCCAGATCCCGTAATATTTTCATCGACTTTAGCACCCATTGAGGTAAAGGCTAAGTTAGAGTTGTATGCACGAATTTTTTGGCGAAAATTTTGTGATCGCGCATCAGTCCCAATAAGAAGTGAATTTAATACAGGTGGAGGGTCCTGTAAAACAGGAAGAATCACCTTGCTTTCAGCACAGCAAACCGTGAAAATTGGATTTTTTTTGCTGGATTTAGCTTTTCTTTCTTCTAGCCAAAATTTAGCGCCGCAATTGCTACATGCTTGATCCATTCTACCCAAGTGGTGACGTTCAAAATTATTAGAGTAAAATGGACGCTATGCGATTGGTAAAGAATTAAATTGAAATAGAGTGGTAGTATCAATATCATTAAGCTGAATAGTCGACGCAGAAGTGGGCGAAGACGCTACAGCAGGATCAACTATTGAATTTGAATGCCTGTCAAGTGAAAGAAATTGTGGTTGTCGTGTTTCAACTAACTCAATAGTTTCTCTTTCATTTGGTGAAATATCAACGTCATCAGCAATAGTAGACGAAACAGCTGGCACGAAATTCATGACAGGATCGTTCGTGACTCGTATCTGCATTTCTGGAAAATTGTGTACGTGTTGTAGTTCAACTAAATCCAAAGTTTCTCTTACAATTATAGAATTGTCGGCATAAGCAGAAGTGATAGATGAAGGAAAAATTATGGGTGCAGCTATGGAAAATAGATTTCTTTCTATTGAAAAATTTTGTGTATACTGTGTTTCAACAGACTCTACTACTTCTTGTTCATTTTGTAGATTTTCTAATTCTATCAACGCAGTGCTTCGATCGCTTGTAAACTCTTCAGTTTTTTCAGGACTTTTGTTAACTTTCTTTCTCTGACGCTGATCATCCTCTAATACATCCCTCTCATTTTGTTGTCGCGTTATTTCACGTGATAAATTAAATCGTTGGTTTTCAATAGTATCTTCAGTCCTTTTGGTAGTACTATGTTGCTAACAGTAACATTTCTGTCTTTCACGCTGAAGCCTTTTCTGCTGTTCCTTGGCACTTTCTCTTAACATTTTGTAAAATTATTTGATTTTTTAATCCGCTGTATTTTTTATCTATTAATAAGTAAAAATAAAGTAAATGTTAGAAGTAACGCGTTAATTATTTATTCTCATCTAAGTGTGCCACAAAAATTTGTTTTTGTTATACAACAAACAATATATGGCAATTCTTGAATGTGTGACAGGAGGGTGACGTAGATTGTCTGAACTGCTGAACATGAAAAAGTAAAAGCAAACAGCCGTTTTGTCAAAAATTGATTATTTTTTCTTGAAAAATTGCATATATAACTATTTTTTTGCGTACTAACAAAAGTTATCCTTGTGTAATATTACTATATACCCTCATATCCTCTAAATAACAATAAAAGTTCTATCCTTAATCTAAAAGAACTTTAAAAAATTGTGATTGCGGAAGAATTGCCGCTATATATGACTGTGACGGGTTTACTAACGTACCCCCTAACGTTTAAAACATGACGATCAAAGCAATCCATTGTTTTGGCAAAGTCACAGTTAGCTCAAAAAATTTTTGTTGAAATAAAATTCATTGCAAAATTTTGGTATAATGCCGCCCACTAAACTCCAACTACGATGTCACATTTTAAACAAAAGGCGATATAAAAATTGATATAAATAATCCAGTCAAAATGATGTTTCGGGTAGATCCCAATGTGACTTTTTTATACTTCATTTTCGCACCCGAAAATAGCATATTTGTGTTACCTTCATCATATCAGTTAGAAAGAGATAGCACTTGAAAAGTTACACACTTTAGTTTTTTATACGTACGAACTAATCTAAACGTTACGTTGCAGATTTGTATTACCTTCGTCATATCACGTAGAAAGAGTTATAGCTTGCAATGTTACACACTTTAATTTTTTTATACGTACGTACTAATCTAAATGTTACATTGCATATTTGTATAACCCCTGTCTTTTTTTTACTTAATAAGAGATTCTCCAGTGAACAGAAGAATGATCATAGTGTAACATGACGCGGTTTTATATATAAATTACTATAGACAGAAATCTGGAAAATTTCTTAAGTAAAATAGTGATTCTTCAAAGA